ATGTTTTCAAATCGTCCAAACATTGCAAAGTCGTGATCAAAAATACTTCCCGCAGGATTTATCCGATTTCTTGCAGATTAATATTTGTTTGTCGTCTTCATTCTATCCTGGGTATAGTTCTATTAAAATAAGAAGTGTGATTAAGAACTAACTAAAAATCGAGTTAACCACTGCATTATTACAATTAAATAGAGGTAATTAGTTGTTATTTTGCAATATTTTAGTCTGTGTTATATACTTTACACCCAAGACATGAGAATGATACACGGAGCATATATTACATACACTAAATTTTAAACGTTTGAGGCAACCCCTGGTAATTTTTTTAAAAATGGCCCCCAAAGTAGTTGTTTTGTACTTTAAATAATAGAAAAATATTATACGTGGTTTAAAAAGTGGGACATTATTGTTTTTAGAAATTTCATTATGACGAAAAGAAAAATATATTTTTTGATTAAATTTTGCTCTCGTCAAAATATCCTCTTTTGCATTGATTAGCTGAGGTACCTGGCGTTTCCTGGATGTACATGACAGCAATTGTATAACCGCACTCCCTGTAAACCTGCGGCCACTAAATTGTCTGCTTGCTTTCCCGCTTGCATCCATCATCCGTTGGTATACTAAGCAACTCCCCATCACATCTTTTTTACGGTCTGCCATTCGCAAGTGTTCTTAATAAAGGAATTCGATCGATTAAAAAAAAAAAAACTTCTTGTGTAGTAATTGCTCGGGGTTAAATTGTTTCAATGTTTTAGATATTCAATAAATTTCATATGTCCGTAAGAACTTTCAAATAGTATATTATTATTCACAAATCTAATAACCAAACAAAAGCAGTGATGAAGCGTCAGAACTTGATTCAACTGCAACTGCAAACATATGAACGTCCTCTTCTTCAGACGTTTACTGTTAAGCTGGGGTTAATTAGAAGTTTTTCGGGATATTTTTCCCTTTTAATGATTCAGTAATCCATTTCAAACAATCTTTGCATCAAAGGTTGTTCGAATGCCAAATTAGGATGAAGTCATATGAAAAAACTATTGGCTAAATACAAAAGCCAATTTGGGACCTATTTTGTCGCAGTTTTAGTCCACTTAACTGAAATAATCTAAAGCACGCAAGATAATTTGTGTGTCATATGTAATTTACATGGCAATTTTGAAAAGCATCGGAGGAAAAACCAGGGAGGTATGATCAAAAAACGGGCTTTTTGAACGGTTTTTTGTGGTTTCTCGTTATACACGTGGAAGCGAGCAGGACTAAAACCACACTATCTTATTTCTTGCATGATAGAAATGAGAAGAAAATTGGATAAAAATGAGGAATTTATTCAAGTTTTTATTTTAAGTAGTACGAAAAACCTGATTTTTTTCCACAGTTTTACGTAATGTTTTGTACGAAGCCAATGTCTCAGGAAAACATAAACATCATAACATGAGCTATGTTTTGCATTAAGTGCAAAGAACATTAGCTCTTCCAGTAAAAAAATTCGAGTGTAACTTTGCTTTGTTTTTTGCTAAAGGTCGTACCCACCTTCAGTTTTATCGATTTTTCTGCCAAACCCGGGGGAAGGGGCTGGAGATTGAAAAGTTGGTCTTGACTTAATTTTATAAATTTGCTACGTGTGTGTACAATTTCACCGAAATCGGTTAAGAAATATGAACGTTCAAAAGTACCACAAACACATACACACATACACACACAGAGACAGGCATCTTCTGCTTTATAGATATAAATTACTGCAGCACAAAAATTTGGCAATCGTTGCAAAAGTTTCTCACAGTATAAGCCGAATTGACTCTATTCTTTTTTTCAATAGCTCTAAGACAACTTTGTTATTTTGGGGATGGAAAGGTATCTGTCAAGTTCATTCTGTGCTAATTCTGGGAGTAGCTTCAAACTTTTGAACTGTAATTCATATATATATATATATATATATATATATATATATATATATATATATATATATATATATTATTATATTATACCTACGGACGATAATGTTTATGTCCTCATTCACGTAAATACAGTAGTAAATATTGTATCTTGGTCTGAAGTTGGAGATTCGTCTTCAGCTGTGCTGGTCAAACTCTCTGCCTTCGGGCAGAGAGCATTCCCAGACGAGACTATGTCTATGGGAAACAGCTACCTGAACCCGTTTTGTACGTGGTCTACAGAGAATTTTTGAGCGAGCCAACGGGTTCGGATACCCTACATTAAATGCGTCGTGGAGCAGTTGGTAGATACCCTACAGTTGAAGATTCATTGTAGAATTCACTTCTGGCAGTTGACTACTTATTCTACGCGCCGTTGGTGTTGTTCTTGTCCTAAGTATTATCGTTGATTACCGACCTTCGTGCGATTATTCTATTCAGTAATCTTCCTAGGTATAACACACTCACACGCACACAATATATATATATATATATATATATATATATATATATATATGTGTGTGTGTGTGTGTGTGTGTGTATATATATATATATATATATATATATATATATATATGAAGTTATGAAGAACTTAGTAATCCGTATGGACATCTAAATTACTATCAAGCATTAAAATCTATTCTTTACATAAATTGCTAAAACCCAATTACAGCCTCTTTCTCTTTACTCCCCTCTCCCTCTTCTTTCTTTTTCCTTTTCTTTCTCCCCTTCCATTTCAATATATCACTTCCGTTAAGTTAACCGTCTAAATAGTTCAAGGTCTGGTCATTCCTCCTCCCCCAATACTAAGTATGATTGAGAGAGATATGAAATTAACCCCTCCCTAAACTCTACCACGTCTCTTTAACTACACCTTTTACACTCTCTGTTAAATTACAAAAACTTACACTACCCATAAATTTTAATTTCATTTTTCGTTTCATTTCATTTTTGGAAGTGCTATCTGATGATCCGGCGTCCTTTAAAAGGGCTCTGGTGAAAAAAATTATTATAATAGTACCTTAAAGTGGTCTGTTTTTCTTTTAATATATATATATATATATATATATATATATATATATATATATATATATATATATATGTTGAAACTTGACTAATGCATGGAATAATAATGCAACACAAAATGAACTTAGAACAAAATGTATTGAAACAAGAAAGTGTACACAGTATTTACATATAGTCTTTTTTGTATATTTCTGGTAAGACCGTTCCTGGAGAATGTGTTTTCTGAGTCGCAGTCGGGCAGAGTCTCTGGTTGAATCTCTTGATTCCTTCCTCTCTTCCCGGTAACAACCATATTTATATGGTCGGTACTCCACTATGCAAATTAGGTGGATCCTACCACAACTATATATATATATAGCGTAGGGCCATATATATATATATATATATATATATATATATATATATATATATATATATATATATGGCCGTCTACGCGTTTATGAGTACACCAGTCTGATAATTGTGTTTGTTCAATGCCCAGAAAGCCTACCTGTCATTTATACAGCTACTATGCTGATCGGACCTTAGTTATAGTTTCTGGGAAAGCGCGCATCATCAGGCGTGATTAATATATTTTGTTTAATAAGGTCAGTACTCTCAAACCGTTGGTTATGATGAATCGTGACTTCAAGCTAGCACAAAAATCAACGGAAATGTTTCATCCACCCAATTTCACTCAGAATTCTTGAGTTAAACTGCGATATGCTGTTAGGCACTTTCTCACGATGCCACACGCTGGTATGCCCTGTACAGGCCGATAACATCAACAATCAAATCAGTCACGCTGGGATTGGAGCCCAGGCCTTATAGTAAGAAAGCGTTCTAACCACTGGGCCATGCTTCTATATAGAAATATATTAAAAATATTATTTTAGTTTGATTCTCTTATCTAGACATGAGATAAAATCATTGCAGTAATTTCTGACTTTAAACTTGAGAAAATATCATATTTTTCGGCAGGAAATGTTTTCTTTATAGAATGCATACTAGTCTCTGTTTTTTTTTGTTTGTTTTTTTTTTGTTGTTGTTGAGAAATCACTGCCTGTAATACTTAGTTATTACTAAAAAAATTTCCTTAGTGAGTGGAATAAACCCTTCAGCCTCCTATTCAAGACGAAAGCGTAAATCACGTGGATAACTAATAAGCTCCACGTCTTTATTTTTTCTTAACAGGATCATCTTGTCGCTCGGAACTGCACTATTTTGACTACATTTAGCATGTCTCTGGAAAGAATCCCACTTTCTTGAGTCGATTATTGTTTAAAAAGCGACGAAGCCATGCATCGCCGTCATCGTGTTTTTAGGGCTTCTGAATTGTTTAATATTAGAATCAATACAAACACCGAAATGAAATGGAGAGAATGAACCGTGTCACAAGTCATTTTCTGGTTTCTCAACTAATATATTTCGAAAATAGACTTTCTCAGTCTAAAGATTGTTCTGTTATTTAAGTATCGAGTTTCATTACTGAGAGTTACATTATCAAATGTCGGTGCATTTGAAAGTTTATAGCAATTTCTCTGTCTTTCGTTTTAGTAATCCATTCATTGTGTGAAATTGAACGATTTATCCTATCTGTTTTTGTAAACTTCTTTACTATATTATAGATAGATATATCAGAAACATATATCACTATAAAGAACAAAATAAAATGATATTAATTTATCTCAAACATAGAACTGTTACACAAATGATAAGATGTTTATAATAGACATCCACTTTAACCACAATGGCAAGTGGAATTATTTTAAACTGCAAATAAGTACAGTAACCAACAAATGCTGTTACAATTTATTTTGATTTAAGGAATTCTTGGAATGGAATTAAACAAAAACATTATATAAAAGCTTCACCATTCCTAATTGTTCTTTAGTCTGTTTCAATAAAAATATGAAAATCATTCAGGAAAATTATTTAAGTCAGAGAAACAGAATTCTCTAATTATCATAACACAATTGAATAATTATAAATATGGCTTCTTATAAAAAAGAAATAACCCGTGTACATATTAACTAAGCTCGTGGTTGTCCAAGATAGGAACTACAAATCAAGCAGATAGACAAATACTGAAATTATCTGAGTAGTGTAGTAATAAATAACAGCAAATGTGATAGGGAAATCGGAACATGCATTATTATATGGAAAGGTATTAAGAGAATATATTGGGAAAAATACGAATGGTAAACTGTTATGTAATCTCTTAGGCTGTCCGTCATTGCTGACGACGAGGCTGTCCATCCATCTCTGTCCGTCTTTTGTGGGCTGCCAAATGAGACAGCAGATCGATCCACGAATGACAAGCTCTCGGGCACAGGGGGCAAGGGAAACATGCCCGGTGCGGAATTGACAAGGCTGCAGATAACGCTAGCGTCGACTCCCCTCGAGCGCTAATCGTCTATCCTCCACGCAGTGCGCCACTCCGGTGACGCAGAAAGACCGCCAGCCGACCCTATCCCCTGCAAGGTTCTCCAGTTGTGTTGGATCAATATTGCAGGAGACAAGAGAACGCTTAAGATAGTCCCAAAACCGCTTCTTTGGGCCCCTACGTGGGCGGCTACCGGTCTCGAGCTCACTGTAGAATAGATTTTTTGGGAGGCGACTCCCCTACATGCGCACAACATGCCTAACCCAACGCAGAAGACGCTGACGACCTCTACACGTTGAAGAACCTATGTGTGTGTGTGGGGGGGGTTAACCATCCATGTAATGCGCAAGATTCGCTGAAGCTAGCCGATGTGGAATGTCTCAAGCAGTTTTATTTCTCGGCGATACAGGATCCAGCATTTCAGCCGTAAAGCAGTGTTGAAACAGCTACAGCTCGATAGACAGCAACTTTGGTGGTGAGTCGGAGGTTGCTATTATAAAGAATTATTTCACAACAGGTAAGAAATTTCTGGTAGTTTCAACGTATATCACCTGGAGATAGACGGAGCGTACAGTGGCCGAAATTTCGTGAATATAACAATAAAGATGAGGACAATAGTCCGAACAATGTAAATAATGTAAAAAGAATTGAAGGTAGATAATATATATTCTTCACCTTACATGAATCTGTATTTCACCTTGTTATGTAATATCTTCTCGATGCTTTACTCGGCTCATCTTGCTTTCAATATATCGTGTCAGTGTCAAATTCTCTAAGCTCTCTTATCTCATTATATGTCCCAGAAATTTCAACTGATTTTTTCTGATTCTATGTGCAAATATCTATTGTTTCAATAGTTTCCTTGAAAATTTCTATGACTGTGAACGTTGGATAATCGCTTCAAAGATTTTTTTCTTTGAAGTGATTGTACCAACATTCATTAGAGTCGACTTCAAGCGAGAGATATAGTCCTGCTAACAAAGGAAATACGATAGACAGAACATACGAGCAATGAGGAAGTTTCAAAGAAAATAATAACAAATACTTGCCATCAGAAAAAGGAGATAAAATTTCTCGACATCATAATAATAAAAGAACCGTTGATAATTTATCATTTACAGTACATATTGAAAACAAAAGAAGCTGGGTGAATCAGTGAGTAACAAAACGGAATATTTGGGAATAGAAGAAATTACAAAGATAAAAAAAGAATGTTAAAGAATCAAAGTTACTTAATCCAATAAAGGACAGGAAATTGTGGAGAGCCACAATCCTCTATGTCTTGAAGAGGTATGGCGTATTAAAGAATAAGACAAATTTCTAATACAAATTCGCACCAGGAAAATAATTTACTTGTCTTTAAATTAGTAACAACAATTTAAAACGTATCTCGTTGAAGCAATATCAAACAGTGAAACAAGGGCAATAACTGCGTATTTAATATTTATTAGTGGCTGTCAGCATTCTTTTTGTCAAAGTGATGGATGTATATTTTTTATCTCGAATATGAGTTTATTTGAAACTGCAGGAAATTCCATGCCTGTTGTGAAATAATTCTTTACCTCTTTCATAAAAAAGAGGACATTTCTATTCTTAAATCGTTTATACAACATTTGTATTTCTCTTGTTATTTGAAAAGCGTTTTAAGTTAACCACATTGGGATCAAGATCATAATACATAGAAATCTCCTTATATCCAACTGTTCTATTATACAAGGTGTGTACTGGATGCCCCTATATACGAATCATGGTAAAACTAATTTAAGAATAGTAAATAAGTATCCTACAATGTTTGATAGTAAACTCCGTCAACATCTGCGCACTAAGCTTAGCCTAGCTTCAACTGACCCAAAGAAAGATATGGTACGTTCTTCGAAGAAAAAATACCCATACACTTAGCAGATAATCTATCAGCTAACTATCCTTTTATGAAGGATTCTAAATGCATATCGATTCTGTAATCATTGCAAGATACGAAAACATAACAAATCAGCGCATTTACTAAGCCACAAAAATCTCCTATGGCGGCCAAGCATAGACATGAAAAACAATATGAGAAACAGTATTGTTGGATCAAACATATTGTTGGATCAAAACAATGAAGACGGGATATTGTAATAGAGCTCTGGTAAAAAAATGGTTATTGAGACAATAGGTTTATGACTCCCCCAAAATTCATACACATATGGCCCAGTGAATAAAAGCGTTCGCTGAAGTAATCCAGTGACATGACCCAAGGAATTGTGAATTCAATACCTGGTCACAGCAGAAGTGAATAAAAACATGGTGAGTTGAGTTATTAAAGAAACTGAAACTGAGATATCCAGAAAAGGCATGACACGTGGAACTAGAACAATCAACCCCAGTGCACAAAGTAAAGGGTTAGGTTTGAAATTCCAACGTATGTCACCTGAAAATGGACAGTGCATACAACGGCCGAAACTTCGAGAATATGACAATAAAGATGAGGACAATTGTCCGAACAATGTAAATAGTGTAAAAAGAATTGCAGGTAGAGAAAATATATTCTTCAACTTACATGAATCTGAATTTCACCGTGGACCTTTTTTTTTGAGAATGTTTATAATTAAATATTTAACTAATAGCATATATAAGCAATATTTACCGAGTCAAGAGAAATTTACCTATTTTAAAATACTTACTTGATAAAGATAATATTAAAGATATTCAAAATCCAAAATTTAATTCCTTTTATTTCAGTTTCCGATCTAATGATCACCAATTACTTTTAGGAAATTATCCTCAATTTTGGATTTTGACTGTCATTTTAGGAGGTGGGCGATCATGGCTCTCTATAATTTCCTACCCTTTATAGTTCTAAGCAATGTTAGTGGAATTTCCTATCCTTCAGCTATCGAACTACAAAAGCCCATAAAGTAGGTTACTCGATGTTTTAATATGCTCATCTTGCTTTCAATATATCGTATCAGTGCCAAATTCTCTAAGCTTTCTTTTCCTATTTTATGTCCCAGAAATTTAAACAGTCCCTTTCTGATTCAAAGTGCAAATATCTATTGTCTCCTTAAAATTTCCTCGTTACTCACTTATTTCGGCCTTGATATTCGCAACATTCTTAAAGGATTTTATAGTAAAAAGGCGTTAGTACATAAAACGTCTATTTTAATTCACGACTTGTTATCTCCAAAGTCGAATAGAAAGCCTAACTCTATTTCGCGTTCTTTATATTCTTTGATCGTATGACTAGCTGAATATCCTTTTATGGAATCGTTGTGTTTTATTTGTTAGTTAATATGTTTAATTTCGTTTCTTCTTCAGAAGAAATATCTGTAATATTTACTTCCTGTTTACAGATCCTTTATAAAGCTAGTATGGCACCATTATTCTTGATAACAACTTCTTTTCTTCTGTGACTTCATAAAAATCAAAAGAAGTTAAGTGAAATTTATACTTGTCATTTTAATCAGTTATTTTAAAGAAAAGAAATTATATATATATATATATATATATATATATATATCAAAGTATATAATTGGTATACACGGAATGAATTCCAATAACCAACAATTACTATTCTTAAAAGAGTGCTCAATACAAAGTAGAGCAGATATAATTATTTTTATAAAAAAATTTATAACATAAGTATGTTATAAAATCACTACAAAAATAGCCATTTTGTTTCAACACACTCTGTATGTATGTATATATATGTGAGTGTGTGTGTATATATATGTATATATATATTATGTGGGAAAGTAAGGTAGATTATGAGAGAAAAGGTTAATAATTATTACTGTATATGTGTATGTGTGTGCCTATATATGTATGTGTGTATGGGTGTGTGTATATATGTATGTATTTGTGTGTGTATGTGTATATATGTATGTATGTATGTAGATATATATATATATATATGTTTGTATATATATATATATATATATATATATATATGTGTGTATGTGTGTATATGGTTGGATATATATATATATGTATATATGTATATATGCATATATATGTGTATGTGTGTATATGTATGTATGTGTGTGTGTGTGTATGTGTATGAGTATGTACAGGTATGTATATGATTAAATCACGACAGTATAATGGTTAGCCAGCATGGTTCACTAGATTGGGTGCGACTGAGTAATGAGTTCGTTCCTCACGGGATGCCCCTTGTTTTCAGCTTTGTGCCACAATATATTTGTATATATATGTATGTGTATGTGTGTATGTATGTGTGTATATATATATGCGTGTGTGCATATATATATATATGTGTATATATATCTGTATGTCCTATTTTATTGTGTATGTGTATTTATATTTAAGTATATTTCTGTTTGTATGAATGTGTTTATATATTTGTATGTTAGACTATATGTATATTGCTGTGTGTTGGTGTTTGAAGGTATATTTATGTATCTATATGTTAGTTCGTTTATATATGTATTTGGTTGAAAGTTGTTGTATTTTTATGTATGCATGTATATATGGGTGGTTGTTATTGCAGGTAGATATATTTATGGATATATATATATGTTTATTTGTAGATATGTATGTATGTGTGTATATATATTTATGTATGTTTGTGTATGTATATATATATAGGTGTGTGTGTTGGAACCTATTATGTATGAGTTTGTGTGTATGTGTAGGTATGGAAACTTTGGTATATCATGACTGTTTTTTATATATCTAAGTATGTGTGCATAAAAGTCTATGTGTGTATATATGTGTGTGTATTTAGGTTTATATGTATATGTACGTACATATGTACTTGTTATCATAGATATGTATATGTACGTATATGTTTATGTTTATATATTTATTCGTGTGTATTTCTGTACGTATATGTATGTATGAATATATATATATATATATATATTTTTTTTTTTTTTTTTTTTTTATGTGTGTTAATTTGTTTTTGCTGCCGTGTATATATATATATATATATATGTATATATTTGTGGATTTCTTTATCCTGTTTTTCTTTGCCAAATATATAATGAAACTATTATCAACTTATATGATTAATAATATATATATTTTTATTGATATTTATTGTTTTAGAGTTTTCGTTTTAATATATTAAATAATATTATTTTAAACATTTTATCTTTATATATTTGCTCCCTTAGTTATAATTCAATAAGTGGTTAGCATTTATTTAAGTCTGAAATATTTACTGGTTGTGATTTCTCAATGTCTATGACATTGTGGATGTATGTTTGTGTACATATCGGTGTCTATGTGTATGTAGAGTGTATTCACATTTAACTGTGTGTGTGTATAAGTGTTAGTTTCCACGTCTCCTTTTTTCGTAAAGGGCTGTGGAGTTGTTCATGTATTCCCCCCACCTCTTCCTTTTTTTTTTTTTTTTTTTTTTAAGTGTGTGTGTATATTTGTGTGTGTGTGTGTGTGTGTATGTATCTAATTATGTCTGGATGCGTATGTATTATAATCTGATTGTGTTTTTGTTGTGTCACGCGTGAGTTTAAGACCATATTCACAAACTTTAAAATAAAAACGGAAAAGAAAAAATATATACATGTATTATCAGATGACCGGACGAATTGTAGCTTTTTGTCTTGTCAGACGTAATTTCAATGAAGAAATGAATTGAATAAACATATATATTTTTTTCTTTTCTCAATAATTTTGTAGTTTTTAAACTTAATAGTGATTAAATTTGGATTTTAAAATTGCCAGTTTTTAATTTTAATATTAAATTTTATCATATAAATTTATAATTATTAGTTAGTAAAAATTATTTTTAATATTACACGTATTTAAAGATCTAAATAGCTATAATAGCAGGATTTTGTTGTCAAGCTTTTGAATCTTTCTGTACTTCGTTTTTGATTGGTTATTCTAGCTTTTGTAACAATGCTCCCCCTAGTGTAGGATCGTTAATTCATCTGAAACTTTTAAAACCATTTATTTTCTTTTCAACACCATCACTTGATAAGACACAGAGTGTGTTGAAACAAAATGGCTATTTTTGTAGTGATTTTATAACATACTTATGTTATAAATTTTTTTATAAAAATAATTATATATATATATATATACACACACACACACACATATATATATATATATATATATATATATATATATATATATACAGAGAGAGAGAGAGAGAGAGAGAGAGAGAGAGAGAGAGAGAGAGAGAGACGGCTATTGGTTAAATATAAGGGTAGACATGATTATCTTGTCTCGACTGGTTTATGACCACGGTCAATAACGACTTTGAATTCAACTCATTTCGTAATGCAAGGGAAAAAACATGCTACCATCTTTCCAATTGGATTATGACAAGTTACATATAGTGAATAAAGAAAATCCCATGTCCTTAAGTGAAATAATTTGAACATGAGAATTAGGTATCTCTAAACCTTTTCCAAAGACGAGCATGATATCATGAAAAAACGCCCCAAACTTGTTAAAATCAAAGTTTTCTTCTCCAAATTATTATTATTAAGAGGAAGGACCAAAGCATTTATTATTTTCAAGAAAATTTAATCCTTTCGAGCATATTCGAAATTTTGGTTCAAAATCTTGTTTTTCTTGCGTCATTGGGTGGACCAAATATTAGTATAATTTTATTTTGGGCGTTAAGAATACATTGTTTTCGAAATTCTTGTAAAAATCAAATAATTCTTGGATTTTAATGAAATTTTAAGAACTTAAACACAAATCAATGAAATTATTTAAAAAATTGTTTTTTTTAGAAAATCTTTGTAAAAATATATATTTTTTTACATCTGTTACTCCTACTTACTTAAATTTATGAAGTTTCGAGAAATGACAATTTCAGCCATTTCATATTTATATAACTAAAATGTGTGACTCTTTGTCGGGTAACAGAGGAAAGGAACGAATAACCTACCTAACGAGATTGTGTAAATGGTTTGCAGAACCGGGATTAGGAAGTACAGCAAAAAGACAAATATTACTACAAAGTAAAAAAAAAAAGTTATGGAGAGCCATAATCGCCCACGTCCCGAAAGGACATGACACAGAGAATAAATATATTTAATTGAGGCCCTTACCAAAACTGGGTGATTTTACTGAAACTGAATATTTTATTGAATAAACTTTTTACTGATTTTCTTAGTTAAACGCACCATTTTTCTGAAAATACAGTATTATATTTTTATTTTTATTTATTTTGGTCAACTACTTAAGCATCATCATGACAAGTTATGAAGGAATATAGGAATATCTACTCATCGGCACCCGCTCGCATTCGAACATCGGAATCGTCACACACACACCTTATTTTCTTCCTCCCCTCTGGTGGCGGTGACAGAGATGGCTGTGAAGGGAATACGACCATTATGATCCCGCCGCCAAGGTGTAGTCGCGGACTAAGGGCCTTAAGCTAACCAAGCCTGTACCCGTTGCCTGCAGGGCCATTACCGCTGGACCTACCGATGTGTGATAGAAAGCGAAGTCAAACAGAGCTTGACGAGGCCATTCCAGTGAATTTCATTTTGGTGGACAAATCTGCGTAACGAAGAAGCCCACACACTTGGCCTTCAAAAGCTCCTTTCTCGCTGCTCTATTGAAATATCTACTAAAGAAGACATTTCTGAAATGTGGCAATTCACTTTTCATAAACGTCTCTTCATTCAATGGTCGTAACTATTCATTACTGAAATCAAAATATGGTGAACTTTCTCTATTTTAAGGCTTTTCTTTTTTATACACTGGCTTTATAGGGTTGGGTCTTTTCTACAGTAAAGTATCCATCCAGATCGTATGGAAAACAGGAAACAGATATTATTTGTAATGAATTGATTTACAAAATAAATTTCTTATATTTACCTTGATAAAGTCCATCAGTGGAAAGAAACACATCGACAAAAAGGTTTTTCTTTTTCTTTTTATTCATCTTGAATTTTTTTACAAATATATTTTTTATTTATATCTGAATTTATATATGTGTATGTGTGTGTGCAAAATCTATTCTCTTCACAGTAAGCAGGAAATCGGAACTGAAAGCAATCCATATTTAGCTTCACAAAATAACTAAAAAAGACTTTATGTTTGATAAGAGCATGCAGGCAGTTACCATATTATATCCTTGTTTAGTCTATATTCACACCATAACCAGTTGCAGGCAATTAAAAGCATAGCACTCATCTGTTATGTTAAAATGCAAAGCTTCTATTTGCCATTTTCGTTGCTTATCGCTTTTTTATTGAATTTTGACTGGCTTCCTTCGAGTTGCTTTGTCATTATAATCGATATAATAACGACATCTTACGACTGTCCTCAGGTAGAACTCTATATACTGTGCCAATTTGCACGAACACTACTTCCTGATAACCCACAGCGAAACGATAGTGTTTCCTGACTGTTCAATGAGATTTATATAATCACGTGGCTGAGATTTGACTGGAGAAGTTCCTATTACGTTGGTATTTGATAGTAGATTATTCATCATTCGCATTGACTAAAGATTCCGCATCTTTTCGGTGAACAGAGATCCCTATGATCAATGATACTAGACATTTTAAAATGATTGTTCCTGTTACCGCTTTCATTTCAAAACAAACTAAGTAAATGTCAAAAGTGTATTTCTTTACCGAATCTCAATTGTATGAAAGAGAACAGTTTATTTACATACGATTTTATATATCTCTGGGGTATAAGGAGATAGAGGCAGCATAATGTGCATTAATCGGTGGACTATTTTTTAGTGACAGTTAAAAATATTTCTGTCTCTTTAGTATTAAGAAAGGCATGAACATAACTTACCCAGTACGCCTATCAAGTTCTAGTTCAGTTATTACCATGACAAGTTAATATGGAAAGCAGAGAATATACTACATTAGGGAGTCCTGAAAACCACCTTTCAGATATTCAATACGACTACTTGTTGGTCGATTAAGTGCCTACCGTGCTTACTAAGGATAACGGGGAATCGAGGTTCGATTCCGGAGAGAGGGCATGCGAAACGGCTACCACATACAAGGAAGGCAGCAGGCGCGCAAATTACCCACTCTCGGCACGGGGAGGTATTGACGAAAAATAACGACGCGGGACTCTGTCGAGGCCCCGTGATCGGAATGAGTACACTTCAAATCCGTTAACGAGGATCAACCGGAGGGCAAGTCTGGTGCCAGCAGCCGCTGTAATTCCAGCTCCGGTAGCGTATATTAAAGTTGTTGCGGTTAAAAAGCTCGTAGTCCGAACTCGGGTTCGTGGTCGCGTTCGCGGCCCCGGGGTGGCGGCGCCATCGTCCGTCATTAACTTTGGTCGTCCGTGAACATTCCTGGCCCTTTCCGACAGTGTCAACCACTTGCACATCCACCACGCGGTCCTGTCGGCGAAATTACGCGGGGGAGTAGTAGGTGTTGCTGTCGTCATCTAAAAGGAGGTCGCGTTGTCTTAGCTCTGTCTCGCCGTTGCGTTCTCCCCTGCCGCCGTTCGGTAGCCTCCTCCTCTCACCTCTCCAGTTTTGTCGCAGCTCTACTATACCTACCTACCTACGCGTCAATCTTCGTGTCCGTTTTATGCGCGTGCGTGGTCGGTGGTTTCTCCTCCAAGGGTGCTCTTGACCGAGTGTCCGCGGCGGCCGGTACGTTCACTTTGAAAAAATTAGAGTGCTCAAAGCGGGCTGTTCAAGCTTGCATACGATAAGCATGGAATGATGGAAGAGGGCCTCGTCTACGTCTGTCGGTCTCCGTCTACGGCGAGGCAATGATCGAAGGGAGCGGTCGGGGCCACTCGTATTGCGACGTTAGAGGTGAAATTCTTGGATCGTCGCAAGACGAACTGCAGCGATGGCGTGTGGCAAGCACGTTTTGCTCGATCAAGAGCGAAAGTCGGAGGTTGGAAGACGATCAGATACCGTCGTAGCTCCGGTCGTAAACGATGCCGACCGGCGATCTGCCGATGTTCGCTTCCATGACTCCGCAGGTAGCCTGCGGGAATCCAGAGTTCGGTTCCGAGGGGAGTATGTTGAAAAGCTGAAACTTAAAGGATCTGATGGAAAGGCACCATCAGGAGGGGAGCCTGCAGCTTAATTTCTTTTCATGTTGACTAGTTAAGATGAGGTTCTTTGTGCTGAATAGTAGTAGCGTTTATTCCTAGCTCCGTGAAGTGAGCGTGAGTTAATCACAAAATTAAAATTTCACAAAAGGAATAATCAAACCAAGAGTCGATAAGCGCCAGTTATTTAAACAAGAGCAAACGTTATTTTCTGTTTAAAATTGGGTTTCCGATTCTTTCTAAAGTCTACTTCAACTCTATATTTCTAACGTCTCCGACTAAACTCTGAAACCTTTTTACATTTAATTTTTATTTATTCCTTTTTGTCCTCAATAGGAATAGATAAGTTCGTCTATCCTGTTCACACTCCTCTCCGGTCTTTTGAAAAGTAGTAGAGGTTTACCCCTCGTCTGCTGTTTAAGATTAGGTACACGGTTTTTTCTAAAGTCGTCTCAATCTCTTTCACTTGCAGTAACCCCATGATATCTTAATGGAATTATTACCTTGTTTGAGGTGAATTGATCAAAAATAAATTTATAAAATTTCCAATTATTTAACCTGAAGGAATATATAAAATATTTATTAACGCAGCAATCTGTCATTAATTTATAATCATCGAAAACACAAGCATAATACACGCATTTTACTGTAAAATAATGTCTAAAACTTTTAGTTTTAGACATTATTTTACGCTCACAGCATCAAAACAGACTTTAGCAGCAACCACGAACATTGCCTATGTACTGGCCGTGTTCAGAAACTGAAAAATATGTCCAGGCCTCAGAAAATTTTCGCACCATTTATAATGATAAAGCCTCAAATCCTGGAATACAGTTAATAGTTTAACCAACATTTGGATAATTTCAAACTTTAGATCTAGCAGACTAGTAGAAAGCTCAAAAGAAGTAACTAATTAGTTATTTATTTAATAAAGTATGAATTCAAGAGGAATTGATGACCAAATACACATATCCAATACACACACACACACACACACATATTCTCACATTTTAACCGTATGCATTTAAACTTAGTTTTTCACTATTCCTCTATTGATACTAAATGATGCCTCAATTGCTATGCCTAAACCCCATCTTATGAATAAAAAAATTGCGTTGTTGTTTCAAATTTTACCAACTATATTTTAAAACTTTAAGCTTTTCACAATTATGTTCAAACGATAATCGAACCTACCTTTTCATATCAACATAAGAATAGATTGCAAGGACATTCTTCCGCTCCAAAACAAATTACTAAATTGTGCAGTTATATTGAAAACTTCAACCGCTTTAATTAAAATTTAAAAAAATCAGTTCATACACTTAACGACTTTTCGGTAAGTTTATAAGTATTTTGAAACGATACAGTAAATTCTTTTCTCAACGCCACTTGAACTTGTTTACCTAGCCAGACATAATCCACATCGTGACTTGAAATCGCAGATAAAACCAAGAACACAAGTCAAATGAAAAAAAAACACATGCATATTCCAAGAAGGGGAGATAAAGTCAGGTTACTTATTACATAGGCGAGTTTCAGAAATTGTGCTGTATGTAAATGGAAAAAAGAAAAACGACAGAAATACAAAAAAGTCCAGTGATTGGTTTTGACGATTGCATATTTTCATAGACTACACGCTGAATTACATGGCTGCCTGGTTCTCCTTTTATACCATGGCTTCGCCAAATAGAAATATTTACCTTCGATTTGTAATAATTCCGTATAAAATAAGGATTACATAGGAAGAGCTTACTGCGTTATTATGTGCGTACCTACGAATTTCATTTTCATATCGTTGTGTGTTCAAATAATCTTAGTTCTGCAAAGGCAGCTAATATTGTGCCACTCTCAAAGTTGGAACGAGTTTCGTTATCTTGAAGATCAGCGTTAGAAATAAGGATTTCGAATTCTGTTCTTCAGTACAGCTGGACATAAAAAATGTCCTTTCATAATAATAATAATAATAACAATAATAATAATAATAATAATAACAATAATAATAATAATAATAATGCTTTCTTTATGTAGAAACAAAAACATGCACGCAGTTAAAAGCCCACACATAAATATGCAATAATGCGTACATCGATAAGCCAATATATGTCCATTTATATTTTCATTTCCTATACGTAAAGGAAATAATTTAAGCAAATAATGGGGTAATGTTTTTTGGGGAGGGTGGGGGCGATATTTCTTCTTCATTCGTGTCCCCTCAGGAGGTAAGCGGTTATAGCTCTCCGCAATTCGCTGTACCTTGTAGCTCTAAATTAATTCTGTCTTTTCAGTTATTTATCCTAAAACCGGTTTCTATTCAACTTTCTATTCAGGTATATTATTTGTTATTTCATCTCTTCTGAAAGAATCAGATTTTGAAAGCCCTCCATCATTATGCGCCCCATTAATTTCACCTCGACTCTTCCTGATGCTAAGTAGAAGTTACCATTTTATTGACAGTTTCTCTAAAACCTCTTGTTTCTCACATGTTTTGTCCATGATATTCTCAGTATCTGTAGAACCACATTTCTGTTGCTTCATCTTTGAGGAAACGGTTCAGCATTCACTGCCATATAGGAGGACAGATATCACGAACAGTCCAGTACTCTTTTCTTTGTATTTAAAGATACGTTTCTGTTGCTTAATACTCCGCTTAGCTTTTGGCATGCATATTATGCTGTCACAATGCATCTTCGGATTTCAGTGTCGCATTTCTCGTGCTCTGTCAGAACACTTCATGTATCTAAATGTTTGTGCTTGCTTCATTTTGATATCTCCGATTTTTAATTTACATTTTGAGCTCATATTTCTTAAAAAAAGAAAGAATTGAGTTTTGTCTTGCTGCAAAGACTCCCGTGATACAAACCGTTAGAGCATGCCTATTTAGTGCAGTTTCTCAAAAAAAAAAAAAAAAAAAAAAAAAAAAAAAAAAAGAATGTGAAAAGTTATATATTCTTTAATAAAACTTTAAGTACAGGTACAGTTGATTGTTTGCTAATTAACAGTCATGTCAAATCATATACGGATAGACACTAATATAATTTTATGTTTATAAGAGACCAGACCAGAAGATTCTATCAGTAAAATATTCGGCACTTTTTCTCTAGTTCTCTTTTATTTTTTAACTTTGACTCATACAATTGCATTATTTCCGGTAGGGCAGATCTATTCAGATTTGTTGTTATGATCACAATGTTTCGGCTGTTGTGCATTTTGGCCTTCATCAGCTGCCCACTCAGCAATGGAGTAGTGGATTAAAATGTTGGCTCGTGAATTTTGTGACATGATAAATGTCGGAGAGTACGAACTCTGTGGAAACAGGACTAGCAATAATTACAAAATTAACTGAGACAGGATATGGACAGCGGGTCGAGAAACAATTCAGTTCGATAATCTGAGCAAAGTTTACCCAGTCCAACAGACACCTGAAGAAGGCCGGCGATCGAAACAGCAAAATAAAGATAAGAATAGCGCGTTAGGAGACAACCTTGGACATTCAATACAAAAATAGGCTAACCACCAGACTCACTAAAGTTAGTTCCCGGTCATTTTGAGCTATTTCCAAAATTGAAAAATGCTCTAAAACGGTAAAGATTTGATAATGTCCCTTACTTTCGGTAACCTGTCAGTATTTTCTTCTGTATTCCATTTCCATTTAGGATGAGGACGAACATACCTCTCCACAAGATTCTATTATATTATTTGTTGCTTTTACTAATTTTTGTCTTTTCACCATCACTCCAAGTCACTCTTGGACCATCCATTTACATAAATTTGCTGGGTATATTGCTAACTGCTTCCCTCTGTCCATTCTGCATTCATTAAACCGTGTGAGTGTCAAATTCTCCAAACGCTCTATCCTTATCATGAGGCCTAGAAATTCTAAATCTCTTTCTGATTCTAAGTATAAGCCTTCTATTTGTTTACATTTTACTTTAAAACTTCCTCGTTACTGACAGGTTCAGGCTATGGTATTCTCAAGATCCACCCGTATAACTACATTTCTGTTGCTTCGTCTCTTCACTTAGGAAGAGATTGTCCCGCATTCGTATGGCAATACATGATGAGCGTGACTATATTACTAAAAAGATTCTAGAAAACGAGTTCCAACAACATTTCCAGCAAAGAATTGCATAGATTCAGAGCTGATTACTTTTAAGCGGAGTGTAATCTATAGTGACTGTAAACAAAATTTGCTTTCATAGACACATTGTGAGAATCATATTATCACAGATAAATTAGAAACAATGCAATTCTCATATTTGCTTTAAAACTTCCGCATTAATCTTATGTTCTGTCTATGTTATTCTAAGCATTCATCGACAGAACCACATCTTTTTACTTCAAGACATTTATTAATTAGTGAATAGATTTTTAAGCTTCACTAATATATTACAAATTAGATATTAAATAGCTGCTCAGGACTTAATGAAATATATTTTAATACACTGATTAGATTTTAGAAGGCATTATTCGCTTTTCAAACACACATTCAGATTTCCATGACACATTTTGCGTCGTCTGTTACTACATTAACCAGAAAATTAAATTTCTTATCCTGTTTCCCCAATACGTAAATCATAATTCCGTATGTCTCTTTTGTTGGCAATCAAGCATCCCGTCTTCTTTCAGTTATTTTTTTCTAAATCTGCTATTAACACGGTGTCATCGGCCTATCGTTTGTTATTAAGATTATTTCCGCTAATAATAAATCTTGGTAGGTTTCCTATTGAAAATGGTAACGCTTCCATAATTGAGCAGAAGGTTAAATTTTGCTACTCAACATGTTTTCTATTAGAAAATAATAACCGATCAGACATGTTTATTATTTTTCAATTTAAGTGAACATTTGTCCAGACGGATTTTTTAAAACTCTTTCATACGCAATGTTATCAGCTGACGTTATACACGACACGGCTTAAAAGCAGAGAATAATATATGGGGAATGCGTTGAGCTAATTATGACTTTATTATTGATCTACAAGACAAGCTTATTAGACATTCTTCCATAGCGTGCAGTCCTAATCTCATCAGCAAAAAAAAA